TCCCCCTCCCCCTCCTCTCTCTCTCTCTCTATTTATCTGGATTATCATCATTATTTTTTTCTCTCTCTACAAAATCTTTGGTACTATCACTCTTCTTACTTTTTTTATCAGGATTTTCCCGTTTTTTCATCAATATCTTTTTCCTCTAGAATCTATGTGGAGCAAAATGGACGATGATGAGGGGAGTTGCGACGGGGAAGTGAGCAAGACGATGAAGAGGAGCTCTTCACAATGGGCCTTCGACGAATTCCTAAAACATGCCGGCTTCCTCCAACAACAGCCCTCTCCGATTGACGATGATGACGGGGTTAGCATACTAACTTTTTCACTCATATTTCTTCATGTATATCTCCTTTAAGAAATTGCTATATATTGGCTACTCTGATATGTGTTGAAATACGCTCTTAATATGATTAGGTGTAGGTGTTTTTTTAACAAAATTGACTGTGAATTGGGTGTGAGAAAAAGAGTTTGTACCGATTGATGTTAAAAAAGCGCCACCCAATTCTTAGTGGCTACACAAAAGTCTCATCAGCATTGAAAAATTGTCATCATTGAAAATTTGCAGATTATTATTATTTTTTTCAACAAATGACCCTTGATGTTATTATAATATAAAAAATTGTTTCATAAGTCATATTTCACATTTTTACATTTGTTCCTTATCATTATAAAGCACCCATCTTAAAGATGGTTGCGAATGGGTTGTCCATATGAAAACAATTGAAACTCATAATCGAAATGATTTTTCATCAAATTTTTATTTTATTTTTAAAATTAATTTATTTATTTTTATATTTATAATCTCTACAATTAGATATTACGTGTACTTAAAAATTGGTTCCAAAATAGATTTTTAAAAAGAATCATTTGTTTCTCTATAGACTCGTAGAAGCCGTCTTTATAATTTTAAATATATCTTTGATCCAAATACCCTCCAAGTTATAAGAAATGACATTTAACCCCTCCTTACCCTTTTTGAATAGTCCAAATGGTAATATTTATCATTTTTTTTGATAACAATCTCATCATCTAAACTTAAGAAAAGCTCCCACTCCCTGTCTTTTCATCATCTGTGAACTCCTTCCTCCCTCTCTGCTCGTCATCACCCTTCAACACCTCCCCCTCTCTCTCTCTCTCACTCTCACAACCACCATTCAACCCCAATCTCTCACTCTCTCGAACCTCACGATTAAGTCATATATGGTATCCCAATTTTTTTTTGGATGATGGAAGTCATTACAAAAATAAAAACTAAAGGGAAAGGCTTATATAGACTCGAAGCTCTTAACAATCAAATTTGAGCCTACTTCAAAAATTTTACTTG